AAAGGACCCCACCCGCCGCCCCCGCGGGAGAGATGCACAGTAACGCCTCGGCTGGCGCGTGGCACGAGGACACGCGTAACAACGGGGCCGGGACTGCGCCATCAGACCTCTCCAACTGAATCCTGGGGTTTTCCCCCGCTTCGGGCAGCACCATCTGTTTCCACAGAGTAAACAGCGGCCGCAGGCAGGTTAAAGGCAAGGACGGGTCTTCAGCGAGACCCCCACCCCCCGCCACTTGAACCGCGCACCAGGGAGCGTCGCCTACGTTCTCCACTGGGTTTGTACCGCGGCGTTCACGAAGCCGGCAGTGATTCCAAAAACGTCACGACTAGGAACAGAGGTGGTTCCATCGTGACTGCTGCTCCCCTCGGATGTTCCTGAGGCAGTCAAGGGTCTTTTCCTTCGCCCCCTTCCAGTCTTACTCTCAACGGCAAGCACAGAATAAAAGCGAAAGGGGTGGAAGCCTGTTCTCCTGTAAGTGATTACAGACAGAAGCAGGTGGGTTCGGGCGCAGACCGTGATTTACTGGCAGTTACTCTGAAACAGGGCTGACGGAGCAGAATAAAAAGGCATTTGTAGAAAAGCCAGGAAAACAAAGAAACCTCATCTTTCCACGCCTCACTTGAAGGCATTGATCAAGGGGACGCCGTGTGCTGGCAGCTCCTGGTGCAACTGGCGGAACAACATGGCACATTTGTTCCTCTCCTGGGTCTTGCCGAGGGTGTGGAACAGCCGGGCTTGGAAGTAGAGAACGTCTCGGAGCTGCTCTTTGCAGTCCACTTTGGCGAAGTACGTCTTGGCTTCGTTTAGATTCAGGATGGCAGATTCCAAAGCTGCGGAAAAAGGGGGGACAGCGGTATGTAAGAGAGTATCACAGTACCAACTCCCAGCAATACAGCCCAATTCTAAGGAGCCCAATTATAAATTTCTCAGCTTTCAAAACAATTTGTGTCTTAGCAACGTGGCCTTTCAGCTTGTTTCTGTTATTCAGCCTCTGCTGCAAAATAGGGGTGCGAAAGCGTGCAGCTAAACCAGACTGCATCACACACACTGTCGAGTAACGAATTCCAGATGAATTTCCCTCTCCGCTAACTAGGCAACACACGCTGCTGTATCACTAAACTTCCACAGCGATGGTGCAGCAGGACTCCACGATCGACACCGCTCTGCCCTTCCGAGCGCAGCTGCAGCCAGGAGAATTACGCTTCGCGCTACCTTCGATCTTCTTCCGCGGAGCGTAGGAATCTGCCGATGCCACCTGACATTTGGCCACCAAGAACATGGCACAGCCTTTGTCCAGGACAGCTCCATGGGCCAAGACAGGTTCTATTGCCGTGTGCAGAATATTCAGGGCTTGTTCAGGAATGCAACTTGCTGGTCTATACTGGAATCCACTGGTACCCGCAGCTTCTTCAGGGAAGACCAAGACGGGTCACGTCTGTTCCTGGTAACGCAGTGCACTACGGACAAGGACGCACAGTTCTCCCCCCCCGCCTCCTCCTACACCAACGCTCGTTAGGAGAAACGAGCCGCTGGTTGAAACGATTCGGCGTGGCTTCTCCACTGCAGTCGGTGCTGACCACCACGTCTCTGCCAGCTCCCAGCAAACAGTGCAGCTGAACCCCATCGCAAGCATCCTCTTGATTTCAAACACGCACCGAACCGTGCTACCGGAGAGCCAAAATACTAGCACAAAACACAGCTAAAGAAGTCACAGGGGCTAATTTACGCTTGCCTGCTCAAACATATGCCATAACTACCCATCCCAGCGGCACAAAACCCAACTCCCACGTTCCTCCAAAGATTCTACGTTTAGAAAGCACTTGTCCAGACTCAGTAATTCCAGCAAGGTCGTGTCCTTAAACCTCACAGGGGTAAGAACGGCACCCAGGTCCCCAGAAGACACGTGGCCCTACAGCCCTGTGAAAGCACAGGTCAGACATACCTGGGAGAAAGCCAAGTTCAGCACCGTCTCCGAAGCCAAGTACTGTAGGCTGTACTCTCGGGAGAGGGCGAGGGCCTGCAGCAGGACAGGCAACGCAATGGTGTGACACGAAGATCTCCAGTAGAGCTCCGCGACTGACAGCAGCACGCTGACCGGGACAGGGCAAAAGAGTTACAAACGCCTGCTTTTCACGTCCCTTGTTTCCCCAGCAATTATCACACCCGTAACGGCACGGATTTTACCGTGAATTACATTGCTGCAGACACCGAAAGCGTCAGTTACACCCCCGAAAGCTTACTCCCTTTCGTTCACGTATCACAGATGGCTGGGTTTCAATCCCACAACATTCTGAGGATTCCTCCATGCCACGATTAATAAATGAAATCCTTTTGTAACCCCCAAATCGTAGCAGGTAACCTGAAGACTAGTGAGGTCTGGACACAGACAAACTGAAATGACCGGTTCCAGTCACTACAACGTGGCTCTGATGCTGGGAAAATGAAAGGTTCTTACCTAATCACCATCTCGGTGTTCTTGATTTTCTGGCAGTGGGTCAACAGTTTCTGCAGAAGTTTGTGCGCCTCTGACATTTGATTTTGGGCTTTCAACACAATGGCTTTTCTGCCGTGGTAAAAAGAAAACATCACTGATCGTATTTTTGCAGTTCAGATGCAATTCTGCTCTTCAGAACAGTAAAAGGTGTCCACTTTGTGACCTGTGCCGTGTAACTGCAGAGCGGCACCCTGACAAAGCGCGCGCGTGCTACACACACCGGCACGGGGAAAGCCGGCTGCCTCCGACTCCAGCTGGACAGCTCACAGGCTGAAAGGATCCAGCCCATAAATCAGCTTTAGACAGAAAGCAGGCACGGCCAGAAACAAAGGCCAGACGGGCAGCAGAGGGGGAGGGCACGCCAGCTAGAAAGCACTAGTCATTATTTGTAAGAAGAACAGGTATGAGGCAAAGTAGCTAAAATTGGCTGGAGCTAAAAAGGATCCAGAGCAACAGGGGAGGAGCGAGAACAGGGAAGTCAGAAACCAGCACACAGCAGTGGGGGATGTGTACAAAGGCCCCGAACCCAGACGCCGAGCAGAACATCTACAGATCAGGGAAATCACAACAGGTCAATTCTGGAAGGACAGGCATTGGTCCCGCAGCCTGAATACTGACCTTCCACCTCACCGGCACCAGCTGTGGCTTTAGGTGTTCTGCCTCATTGAAAATCAGCAAGAAATTGCTTTTAGCATTAAGCTGGTTTGCATACTCGCCAAACAACAAGTTTTAACGCTACCGACTTCTAGCACGTTATTCTCATTTAGGAACAAGGACCCTAAAAGTGAAAGAGGAATCCTCTTGTTCCATTGTGTAGCTGCGGAAACCAGGACAGATGACAACACCCCAGCTCAGACCAGACCTGAGATCCCCAGCTACATGACACAAAATTCTGCTTTGTGCTTAGGTGTGAGGACAGTTTCCATGCAGATTTTGACATATTTTGTGTTCTCACGACACATCTACAGCTCTAAAATAACACCAACTTCAGCAATGCTATTCCAGTTCTTCAAGCGTCCGGAGAAGCAACTAGAAATTACTACTGCCGGACATGCTCCGACGGAGAAACTACAGGCTGGACAACATGCCCGTACTTGCTTTTGGAGAGGGAAGAACATGCAAGCACAGGTGACTGCCAGCAATCGTTTGGCTAAAAGGTTCGTTAACTTCATGGGACACACCTTGAAGTGTGTGCAGATTCGTGACTTCTTACCTGTACGCGCCCTCAATGCTTTCAAGCGCGGTAATCCCTGCTACGAGAGAGTCAGCTACGTGGTACCTGCCATCGTTCATGGCTCGCTCAAACTGTATCTTCTGATCAAACAGCATCCAAAGCTGAACAGAGAACATCCAGGAACAAGTTTTAGAAGTTGTGCCTGCTCCTTGTCTAATCCCAAGTTAGAACTTCCTTTTCATGTTCCCCTGTGGATATTTATGTCTAGACACAACTCACTCCACTGTCCAATTACGGGATTTACCAAATCACTGTCCTCAACAGAGACGCTCAGGTCTCGATTAATGTTTCAATACCAAAGCTCACCGATTTGAGTGCAGTTTAAGACAAAAAAAAAGCTCTTTTAGATCATTATGAATGCCTTGAAACAGGAGACTTGTTCTGCAGGGAGAAGGGCCAAGCTGGATGTGGTGGAACGCTTCAGCAGAATTACTGTCTTAGACTCGTTTGTCTCCCAGTCCCACAAAAACTGCCCTATTTCCTCAGATCCTTCTGGGCTGTGGTCTATCAAAATAAGTAGCACGAATTAAACAGAACTTGGAAGCTCCAAATCGAGGCACAGCACCCCATTCCCGTACGTGCTCACGAAGGAGAGGTACGCTTCTACTTAACCAGCTGTTTCTTAGGAGGCCACGGCGAGATAAAGGCCTTCCTGGTCTTAAAACAAGAGAGGCATCTTTTTCATGCTTTTGTAGGGAATTCTATGCTGCAGAGCTTCCCGTGAGGCCGCGCACCAAGTGAAATGACCAAACGTACAGCCCGGGGCATTCCGAGGGGGATTCGGACGCGATGGAATCCAGACCCTACCGTAGAACAGCGCCATAACTTGCAGGTAATCACAAACAGCCTACCTGTGCATGCTGACTGTTGGCGGGGAACCTTTCCTTCAGGTGTTTCAGTATTTCAGAAGCAGCTGCGAAGTACCCCTGTAACACAGACAGAGCGCTGCCACAGATGGACACCGGGGCGAGCGCTGCTCCCCTTGATTCCAACACAACCTCCACACAAAGACCCCCCACGCGTCTCCTTCGCCCCCAGCGCAGGGGCTAAAGGCAGGACAAAGCAGGAGCCAAGCCTGGCACTCTCCGTCAGGAACACCCACGCGTCCTGGCGCCCAACCGGCGGTTTGTGCGGGCGGCGCGAAGGCTCACCTGCTCGGCGTGCAGCTCAGCCAGGTGACACAGCACCACAGCGAAGGACTCGGTGTTATTCTGCTGGACGCCCACGTTCACAGCCTCCAGACTGTTCATGCTCAGCAGCGTCTGGGCTTGCTGAAGTGCCATGGTGCTTGTGCAAGAGAAACATCTTTTAGCTTTCAAGCAACCAACGACCATTTCTGATCTACGGGCTTGTTAGGACAACAGTCCAAGCGCTCTGGTGACTCCGGGGCCCGGGGGAGAACGGACACTTGCAACCAGCTGCTGTCCAGGAACTCCGGACACGAGCACAGCGAGTACTACCCCCCAAAAGCTGCACACGGCTTAAGCACAGAGATGCTGAAAACAGGGGCACAGGAAGAATTTAGGCACTATTTGCCACTACTAAATGGAAACTCTTCTCCAGCGTGAGTTTTGAAGGAACACACAAGAATGGAAATAATTGCACTCAGCCCGGAGGGAATCACAGTCTGGTTGCTTCATCTGAGCGCACCGGAGAGACACCGTCCCCAGTTACGCCCAGGTAAGCAGCTCCAAATGCCTTAGGTGCTACCCAGCACCGTGAGCTACCCCACGAGTTCAAGAGAGACAGGGTACCTGCGGCCGTATAATCTCCAGATGGCGGTTTTCTGGGCTATACTAATGTCGATGAGCTCTGACAAGCTGTGTTTCCAGTGCAACAGATCTGAGTCTTTTAAGGCATCCATTAGTTTGTTGGCAGCCTTTCCTGCAAAAGCTCTTTGCTGAACCAAGGACTGTATTCCCAGGGAAGCAAGGTACTGCAAGACACAAATACCAACAGCACTGAAAGACAACAGAGCCCACTACTGCCTGTGAATTCACTGGAGCAAGAGTTCCAAACAAAGGAAAGCACTCCCAAGGAGTGAGATGCGATGTTATGCAGCACAAAGGAACACTGCTCCAGGCGTTTCTTTAAGTACCCACTTCTGCACACCCACGCATACATGAACACCATTGTGCTAGATGTGAAAGGCAATTTCCACCCCCCACACTGAAGCCTTAAAGAGGATGACAGGGCTTGTACCTGGATTTCTCCAGGGAAGAAACAGCTGTGAAAACACAGAGCCTTCCCTCCCCTTCCCCACCGAGTGGCCACTCGGCTCTCATCTCCCAGCATCAGCAGTTTAATCCCTTCTAGAAGATTCTCTTAACAAAGAGATTGCAGATCTCGGGGGAGACAGAACTAAAGGTTAAGAGCCCAGAGACTCGGGGCACAGCGCTCTCCAAGGGGAGAGCTGCCTCGGAAGGTTTCACAGCTGGGACAGAGCCAAACAAGCGGACATGCGTTCAAAGCCCGGCCAGAGGCAGCAGGACCGAGTTTCAGGGCAGGCGGAGACTAAGAACCTCCCTTGAGCACCAGCAGATCGTGCTATGGGCCTAAGGCCAAAATGGTGCACGGGGCCAGGCCAGTAGCCACCGCGGGTTTTCCTGCCTGAAAAACAAACAGATGAGAAGGAAAACCAGCAGGCTTGGCAGTACTGCACTGCCGTTACAGCAGCTGAACTCTGGTTTGTTAACATAAGGAGTCAAAACGACGGGAACAGCTGGATTTTGGAAGGTTAAGATAGGTTTGTTTAAGTCCAGTTACACATTTTGAACAGAGCAGCCCCAAAACCCCAAACCCTGTTGTGCACGCTCCCCGCAGCACGTGTTTGTCCTGTGACAAGGACGAGTGAAGCAGACTTACCGGCAAACCGAAATGTAAGGACTTGTTTACAGAGTGCTCCAGCAGAACACAGCTATCGAATATCTTCTGCTCCAAGATGTACAACCAGCTCTAGCAAGGGAAAGGGTTTGAGAGCTCACTGCAAACAGCTAATGGTGGCAGCACTTTTAACGGCTCTTACTTTTTGCACAGAACGCATAAGAAACCCGCGGGAGATAGAAACAACTCTGCAGAATTCATATGGTACTAAGGAAAGGCCTCTGACATGCTGCACAGCAAAATGTGTGGGAAGCGCAGCCAGGCCGGGACGCTGTCAACGCTGGAGGCTCCGAGTGACGCGCGGAAAGCCAACTGCGGAAGGCAGCGCCTCGGGAGTTTGACACCATCAATGCCAATTTGCTGTATCAATAATGTTAATTACAGACCAACACACAGAGGAATCTGCCTTTCCCTCCTCCTTTCTGTTTGCTCAAAAGAAGGCTGATTACTCTTTGGGAATCCAACAGGGAGTAAGGAGGAAGTTTAAGACATACATTGTCTCTTAAGACAAAACTTGGAGCTTAGTCCTGAGATTGTGGTACTCTGGGATCACAGGTCCTGTTTAAGTGAGCAATCCTGAGTTGCGAAACGCACCATCCCATGATCTCCCTACAGTCTGCTGCTCTGGGTGACCCAGAAGCAATGTCACCCCGCTGTCAGAGAGTCACAGCCAGATTACTGGTGCATTTGAGGATGTAAGAGTAACTGCAGCTGTTCACTGAGCGAAGGCTCGGAGAGCGCAGACAAAGGTGACTCCCCCTCAACACAGCCACCTTACCAGGCAGTGCTGCAAGCAGACATGGTCGTTAGACTCCTGTGCAATCCGGATGGCCTCCTGAAGTGCAAGTTCAGCCTGTTGGCTATCAGCAAACAGAAAGGGAGAACACATTAGGATTCCCACAGTGCTTAAAACACAGCATTAGGCTGCAGAAGAGGAATACTGATCTAAATTATGCATGTCGCACTCAGAAGATAACTGACTTAACAGATCACAGGAGAAAGCCTGTGTTCTCCTCCTAGCACATCAGCAACCTATTCTGGTCCTGAGGATAAGAAGCAAGACGGCACCTGCCAGCCACTGCAGAAACGCAGCTAGGCGGGCTTTCAAACCCACTGCGTGCCAAGGTACCATCTGAGCAGGGGCAACGTGAAGTATCTGCCTGTGCAGAAGGAGTTGTTGCGCTCAGTTCTGCAGAGGTTCTGCCCATCTCCAGTGCATCCAGGCAGCAGTCAGTAAATGCAACCCCTGTCTGGAGATGGGTAAGTCAGTTTTACTGATAAACCACCCTCCTATGGCATTTTAAAATTAAAAAAGCTCAGATGGGTTGGGTTTTTTAGGATTACTTTTCTTCCAGATCATCAGCTCTATGTTGATTTGAATGTTAACAGAAAACTAACCACACTTCCTTGAGAGTACAGCTGAAAATAGGCATTCAAGCCCACTGACCTTTCTGAGGCCACGGAAATGTGGCAACTGGGAACTTAAATACCCAGGAAACAGTTGCAACCCCACACAGACAAGTGTCAGCTCCTGCCCTGCTGTAGATGGCTCAGTTATTATGGAAACCAAATGCATGTCAAAACAAAACCAAAGCGAAACAAACCAGGATTCCGAGAAAATTCCAACCCAACTACAGCTGTTACCAAACTAGAGAAAGTCCCTTCCGCTCCTGAATGGATTTTCCGAATGAACAGCAGGTCCACCTGTCAGCCCTCCTGCGACGGAACGGGGCGAGCTTTCGCCGCGCGGGGCGATGCGTGAACTCACTAATGGCCGAAGCGGCAGTGCAGCGCAGCTAGGTTGAGAGCGGCGTATCTCAGGCTCCGGCCGTAACCCTCATCCCCGTTGCTTTTGCTCTCTGCTCCAGTGAGGATTAAACGGTCAAAGTAATGGAGGAGGCTGTGCGTCGAGCTGAAGACATCTTGCACTCTGAGACTATTTAAGTAGCTTAAATAATGCTAAAAATTGAAGCAAAATCAGCTTTAACGACACAGAATTATTAAAACAAAGGTTTTGTTCAGAATCACTAGGTATCTCCTCACAGAGGAAGGCTGCCCAGCAAGTGCAGCCGTGGAATACCGTATGGCCAGGGAAGTGCTTGATCAGACACTGCAGCGATACGGATACCACCCTGCAGAATTTCTGTACATCCTGGCTAAAACTGGTTGTTTTCCCTAACAGGATCTTCAAATGGTGTCCGAGAGGCCAAGGTCTGCCCATGGGCATTATCCCACCCAGCCCGGGGCCTCTACAGAGGCAGAATGCCTGCACCGACGTGCTGGGCGAGAGGGGCAAGGGAGGCATCGCTCCCCCTGCGTCTGCACGCCGGGAGACACGCCGGCGCACGAGCACCGCTTCCAAATGCTACACGGATCGAAAGGAGATGCTAAAACCATGTATTTTCTTCTGGGCATTGAGACCTGGGGGACAACCCTCTATGTCAGGCAAACAGAACCCTGGAGAGGACTTGTGGAGTTGCGAGGTCCAGCCGCTGCACCGACAGCCCTTTCCAGGATCTGTCTCCAAATGGGAGCAAGGAAAATCCTGTCTGCCACAGCCCTGGGCTGTGTGAGGGAGAGTTACAAGTACGGCAGGGAAGAGCTGACTGGGAACTCATGGCACTCGCTCAGCTTGCTAGGAACGAGGCAAATGTTCGCAACACAGGCCTGGAACCAGCCCTCGGCGCGAGCTGCTTACTGTTTTCACTGCAAACTGCTGTTAAGCACCGGAAGTGAAGTGAACGTGAGTGAGCAACAAGTCAACAGATACTGCACTTCGTACTGATTTTTAAACTATGGGAGTAGGAGGCCTGAAATTTCCTAGGAAAAGAAGTAAGTTTTAGATTTAGTTCAACAAGAATGCACTCACACAGTCCCACCCGAACTAGGGGGATTATGTCTGTGCATAAAGCTATACATGTGGCAAAGTACTCAGCTTAATGAGGGTTTCTGCACTTCTAGGACTTTCAGGCTGAATTACTAAACATTTACATGCAACTTGCTTGCATTTTTATCATCTGCTTGTATTTTGATATAGAATAAATTACTCCCAACTAATCCCATCCTAGAGAGAAGAAATCCCTTTACAACCATTCTGGATGAAGACAAAGATACTTACTGCTTCAGCAAAGTCTGGATTAAATTTTAACAAGTTGTTCAACTCCTTCTGTAAAGACGCCGGAGCAAGAGCCTTTGTTTCATCATTCTTTAACAGGGAAGCCTGGAATAGAAATTGAGAAGCAAAAGCAAGATAAGCAACTCAAACTGGAGGGTTACAAAGGCATTTTGGTACGTGCTAGTCAGTTTGCTATGTGCTGGGGAGAACATTAAAGAGGATTTTCTAACTGCTCTGCCTACTGGGAGGCTGAAACATCAGTAGCAGTTTCATTCTGCATTGTGTTGTAGCGTTCCCTTTCCAGAGATCAGAGAGAACAAGTCAAATGGAAGCTTACTCAAAGGCCTGCTGAAAGAATTCTGTGTAAGTTTCTCTTTGAAGAATTAATGGATCGCTCGCCGGAATTACAGGTACCTTCTCACCAAGGAAATTCAGGAAGCTGAGTGAAAGTGAACCCGCAGTTTGCTTCAATAAGTAGATCAATTAATAAAAAACTACAGTGATCCAGTTGCTAGAAGCAGCATTACTGAACAATGAAAACACGTCAAATTTCAGAACCCTCCTAACCACCCCGATTCCTCCATCGTACTCTAATGAGGAGGAATAAAAACCATGTACCCACCACGAGCAGATACTCCACATCAATCATCAGCTACCGGCTTCAATAACCCCTAACAGTCCAGATCTCAATGGGACTGAAGCTACTCTGAACTCCTAATAACCATCTTCCGTATTCATTGTGAATGCGGTTTATCCTTGGCAAGGCATTGCGAGGATGCACCGCTGCCCGAGTGTATTTCTGCTCCGTTCCATATTTACCAGCTGGAATGATCAACAAAACCGCACGGTTAGCAGACACCAAATCGGAGGCGAGCGGTCACCACGGAACTGCACTCCTGGGACGCAGATACCATCACACGGTGCACATGCCTAGATAAAACACGCTTACTGAGCAACCCCCTGCAAGGTATCGACAGATGTTTACCGGTCCTAAGAAAGCACCACGGCTGACAGTGTGGGTAAAGCTGAAGGCGAAATTCTGTTTTGAATCGTTTACTCAGCTTTATTCAGAATTAACGTACCTGCTGAGAAAGGAAATACTCTGCTTGTTTCTGGGAAAGAGGCCCACTGCAGGATATCTCTTCTTCCCTGATAAGAAGCACTCTGGTTAGAAACAAGGGCCATGAAACAGACCGCAAGGAAATACGTTTTATCAGACACTCCACTCTTCAGCTTCGTAAAGTCTTATGAGATATTCCAGCACAAAGCATGAAAGGGAACGGAAGGGGGAAAGTCAAGAGTAAGATCCGCTACATCAAAGTTAGCGACCCAGATGGTTTCACACGGTTTAGTTGTAACTTCCAACCTGCAGAGACCACGGTCAGTATGAACGTTGCCCTGCGCACACATGAAATCCCGGAGAACACCGGGCAGGAGGTCCGGGGCTGGCGTACCGAACGGCTGTGCTGGTACTCCGTTCTTCTGAGCGCGGTCTCGGGGACGTGAACTGCCACCTTGGCCACACACCCCACTGCAGGGAGCAGCTGCTCTGCACGAGCAGGCAGAAGTTTATGGCACGGGCAGGCAGCAACTATGGCGTGCAGCCAGGCTCCGAAAGCTGGTAACTGGCTCACGCTGTAGCACAGCATCCACGAACACAAGTCTATATGAAGACATTTCAGAACCTACATTTTAAATATACGGATACACAGAATGACTTTAGGATTGTTCTCACAGTGGGGTGCATCGCTAGCGGGTGAAAAGCCTCAATATTTGCTTCCTACTTCTGCTGTAAATGAACAGGAGTTCTTTTATTTGGAGAAGGACGAAGAGAAACCAAAAACGTTAAGCTTAACTCTTCCTTAGCCAGCAATTTCTCCTTGCTGGAAGCAGAAGCGACCTCTCCAGCAGCTTTATGGCCAGGGAAGTCACTCAGCAGCGGGCTGCACGGAAGGGAGGGGAGGGAATGGCAGGCTGAAGGGCAGGTGCTGCCCTAAGTGCGTCTGAGAACTGGGTACCGCCCTCTCCCGAGAGACGCTGCGCAGAACTGTCGCCATGTACCAGCGTTACCACACGGTGGCACCACGGCAACGGAGAGGCCACCCAGCTCTGCCAGCGCCTGCGGGGCTTTGAGAAGCACACACAAGATTACAGGACCCTGGGAACACTGCAGCCGAAATCCTCGGTGACAGTGATACACACAGGGCCTAGAGCAGCAGTCGTGGAGTTTGAAAGGTTTGGCAGAAGGAGTACCTGGAGCCGGAAAAAGCTTAAGTTTAGCTCTGTGCACACCAGAGTAGTCTGAAGACTTATGCTCTTAAGTGGGAAAGTCTTCAGTATTAATATATCACCTTAAAGGCACATCAAGTTCTTCTTTCTCCATTTTCCCCTCCAGTTCCTCTGTATTTGCCAGTTCCATGTCGTTCTCATCGATTCCATTCTTTTTCTCGTCGTTTTGGAAGTACTGCTGAAGGGCAGTGTAAAGTTTATACACCTGACTAAAAGACAGTTTATTGTATGCCAAGATCATGTGGCGGAGAAACAGCCCTGCAAAGGAAGACACCTGTTAGGACAACTGCTGCTTCAGCGCAGAGACTAGAAATCACAATAACCAGAAGCCTAAAGCACGTTACTGAGTTTTGCTGAAGTGTCTCAGCCTCCCAACTGATAGAACTCAGTTCTGCAGGGCGTATTCATTTAGTGGCAAATCTCACAGACTGCCCGATCGCCGAAAAACTGTTAAGATCAGTAAGAGCTGCACAATATGCAACATCTGAGCAAGAGAGAAATCACTATTATGCAATCTTTAAACCTCCCAAAAAGAAAACAAGAAAAGGAACTGTATCCCGAGAGAATTACATCCGTGACAGATAACGCCTCGAATGCAGCTTATGGATAACAACTGGTTACCTACTACACTTGTTTTATGAACTTCTGGCTCCGTCCCTGTAAATGAATCTGAAAGGTCATCAAAAAATTGTTCCATATCTTTCAGTTCCCCTTCTGCCATAAGTTTTAGCCTAAAGAGGGAAAGAAAACAACGGGGTTTAGGGTACTCACAATACGCATCAAATAACATACTCCTCTATGTCAGGTGTAGATGAGTAAACACAAACAGAACCAAGGGGTGGCTAATTCATTAGGTCCAGAAAGTTTTCATACTCCTGAGTCACATCAAAACACATTAAATATTAATAAGAAGCCAAATAATAGTCAGGTTTGTTTCTCTTTTTAAACAGTTCTTTTAATGGAGAAAACTATTAGAAAATATTGTTACTCTAACAAAACAATTAGGAACTCAAAATAGGCCTTTAAAACTGGTGCTGTTATGTGAGTTAGCTGATGCAAACCAGATAAACTTTAAAACACGTGGCTCGGACGCTGGCTTCGGGGGCCTGTCAGAACTTATTTGCGAGGACTAACTGGAGGAGTACATTTTTGCTCCAACTACATGCGTTAGAGCGCTTCTCAGTAAGTACCGGGGTACTTCCTAATGCAGCGCATGCCGATGCTGCAGAGACGCTTTACTGCCCTTCGCACCGTCACTGGCCGTGGCGGCAGCGTTCAGACGTTTCCCACGCACGACACGGGGACCACAGGACGGAAGGGACTCGGGGAGCACTGCGGCAGCACCGCGCGCTCCGCACCCAGCCCAGGGCCACGGGGGCCCGGCCGAAGCCTTTC